TAATACGTGAATCTTTTACTGCACGCTCCTATAAACCACCGAATTTAGAGCTGCCTCAGCCTCCCGTCTCTTCTTCAGATTATCTTCTGTTCTCTGGCGTGGTTGGTAACTTCTTGGTTCGGTTGCCCTGACGGATGTCGCTGTTCATTTAGCAGGTGTCCGACATGTTACTATGGCAACTGAATAATTCGTGTCGTAATGACTGAGCGATGTTCTCGTCTTGGTTGTACTCTTCGGGTAAAAACGTCGGCCCGCCTACCGAGCGAGTGGCTGAACAGCAAAAAGGGCTCATCCCGGTGGACCTGAAATTGTTGGCGGGGGGGGATACTCTGTTATAATGGGCCACGACCGTTCCCATTTCATCATTCACGTTTAGTATCTAAATAAGAGGGATGCCACCCGCTGTAGTAATCGGGGGAGCCTGAGGTGAAGAGTGACGAGATCCCTTGGGGTATAGGCGTGGGGGGTGGGCAATTTTGAGGTGGTTCTCACGGAAATTTCTCCAGAGGCGAGCAGTTGTGAACAAAATAATGAAAGTGACATTTCAGGTTGTCATGGTGCCGAGTATGGAGATGGCGGTCTTTTTTCTGGGTTTCTGCGCCACGTACTTTGGTAGATAGTGACGGACGATTTAACCATGTAATGAAACTTAAGGCGGTATAAACAGGCAAATGCATTGACCGGCTAAGCCACTGTTAGATTCTGTGTCAGATCCTGGCTCATCGATGAGGTGATCGGACGTAGAGGAAGAACAAATGTGTCCTTTAAAACAAGAAGCATAATGTTTATATCACGTGACTGTGGATCTCTTCAGGTCTTGGGAGTTCTCAGGCTGTGCTGATGGTCGGTTGTTGCGCACGAATCGCATTCTGTGCGAGCCGATGTGAGACCGCGGCCCACAGTTATGTCAGAACCGCTTCTTTAACCTGCAGCAGACCCAAAGCAGGACAAAAACGCGTTCCGTCCCTTCAAGCCACCCGTAGAGGACGAGAAAAGAGCATCAAATCGAGGGTTGTTGTCGTTTTTCTCTTTTTCTTTCTTTCTTCTTCTTGCTTTCTGCCCAAGAAATCCTCTTCCGCTCTTAAGAAGAGCCAGGTCTGTCCCTCCCACTGGCCCTGGACGCCAAGTTGTTTTTCTAGTGTTTTGAGCCTTTTGTCGATGTTCATTGAACTCCACCGCGCACAAAACATGGAAAAGTCACTGCAATGGGGCGAAGCTCACAAGGCATCAGATATTTATTTCGACTGACAAATTAACTTCGGGCCCAGTGAGGATATAGTAAGGTAACTGGCAGCTTTCATAACGAGGAATTAAGTGACTTTTAGGTGTTACCTAGACGGTGAAGTTTCAGAAATGTACAATTGGCTGGGTTGGAGATGTGAAATACGTGAGGAATGTTTTGGTAGGGAAGTCTCAGAAAACGTGTCCAGTTGGATACCCTAGAAGCAGATGGTAGGAAAACGTTCAGATGGACCAGAAATATTTTGTGAGGTTGGCAGGTGGATGGAATTGGTTTGGGTTCTGCTACCAGACAGTTGATTCGTTTGTTGGTCAGTTAGTTAACTTAATTGTAGTTATTAAGCGGCTGTAGAAATTGTTTGATGATGTCATGTAAGTCGACATTTCATCACCGCAGTCACTGGTATGACCTCGTGTTCTGAGAAACGTCTCCGAAATCCATTCACGACTCCATCACGCGCATTTATCAAATATCTTTTTCAGACATTATTCTTCCGACTAAGTCTAGATCTCTCAGTTCAAAATGTTACTCTGCACACTTTCTCCGTCCTGAAGAATTGGCCTTGAACTGTCTATAAACTCTCTTCTGGGATGCAACACCGTTTAGATATTTACCGACGTTTCGGAGGTACTTCTGCCTCCGTCGTCAATGTGATGATGGAATTTTAGTTATTACATTTGAGGTAAAGAAACCTCTAGAAAATTGAGGTGTAGATGGGAAAAATATTAAAATTGATTACAGAGAACATACGGAGTGGTTTAAGCTGGCTAAGGACAATGTTATTTTTTGTGAACACAATGAATAGTTTTCAACTTTAATATTATCACGAGATATCTCAAGGACAACGGTCAGTGGCACAGTTACTCGTTGTAATTATTGATTTTTAAAGTGGCCTTTTTGTTTGCAAGTTTTTCCGAACCAAAAGTCTTTGTTCCTTGCCCAGTGTGCAGAACCATACCAGAAGACATTCTGCCTGCATCGTAATCCTCAGTTGAGAATATAATTCACGAGGTGCTTTAAGTGTATTTGTTATCAGTCCGTGCTATTTTGCTGTCAGAACAACGGTTTGCCACTCGTAGTTAGACGAGTTTCGTGTTGCGGTAGGTCATCGGGCTGCAAGGCCGGCCAAGGCCATCGGAAAGAATTCCTTCCGTCCGACCGCTTGCTTTTGTTTGCTTCTCGCCTTCACGCATCCTCAGAACCGGCTCCGGTGCAAAGTGGCTACCGTAATGCGCCTTCCGTTTCCCGGTGGCTGCAATCCGCATTCTCTCATCGACTGCATCGTCCTCGGTCTCTGTTTTCCTTGCAACGCGCTCCACCGCGAGCCTTGGACGGCGAGGTGCAAGGCCTCAACCTGAACCGACCGTCTTCTGAGATAAGGCTCTATTGAGGTGATTACTGCCTCCATCATCAGTGTATAAGTGTCTGATCATGGAGGCGGTAAACTCTCCTGAAACGTCGATGGCCATGCTTTTCACCCAGACTACACACTGCAACATTCCAAAAGACAGCCATGTTCACCATTCGATCTGGTCATACCATTACGTCTTACTTATTTCTAAGTTAGTTTAATATTACTTTTCAATCCAAGTAGTTTTCCTTTACATGCCTATAGCACTTAAGTAATCTGTATTTCCTCTGATAAATCACACAATTAACTTTGAAGCACGAAGCCCGTCTGAATATCATTTAAGAATTCAGTCCGTACCGCAAAGAAAACAACACTTCACCATTACAAAGATCAGCTGGTTGACGCTGTTTAAATTGAGAATCGTACACTGTGTGGGCAAAATGCAGAGTTAGCGTACCGATTATTAAAGCGGGTGGTACATATACTTACCACTGGTATCTAATGGTGTATCCGCCCCTGTACCACTGCATTCTGGGCCTCAGCAAGAGGTAGAAGTGAGAGGCGAACATCACGCTCGAACCGCCTGATCCCCGGGTCTTTATCGTTTTAGAGGAAATGTTTTTGTAACGCGTAGTGACCGAGCAGCCGACGAGGAGGAGGCTGACGATGGAGAATCCCGCGCCCTCATCTCCCTTCACTTGTTTTCTTTGTATGAGATCGTGGTAGTCCTCCCAGACATTAGTCTTTCATTGTCTGTTACTATTCTCATTTCTGAGCTCGCCCATACAGAGCAAGCCACAGCCCACATGAATCTAGCGGCGAAATCGGGACACTTGGATTTCCTGCTTCGTTCATCTGACGACGAGGCTGTGAAACAAACGACACGCAAATCGACAGCGGGTTACAGATAAAATCGCGGCGAACGTCGTGTCCATTACGCGATTCTCAGTGCCTGCAACCTGATTAGTAT